TAAATCTTCTCTCCATTTAAGGGATCATAGCTAATAATTAGAATCATAGAATCATAGAATGCTTTGGGTTGGAAGGGACCTTTAGAGATCATCTAGCCCAACCCCCCTGCAGTGAGCAGGGACAGCTTTAACCAGATCAGGTTGCTCAGAGCCCCAGCCAACCTGACCTGGAATGTTTCTAGGGATGGGGCCTCTGCTGCCTCTCTGGGCAACCTGTTCCAGTGCTTCACCACCTCCATTGTAAAAAATTTCTTCCTTATATCCAGCCTAAATCTATTCTTCTTTAGTTTAAATCCATTATTCCTTGTCCTGTCACAACAGGCCTTGCTAAAAAGATTGCCCCCATCCTTCCTACAGGCCCCTTTTAAGTACTGAAAGGCTGCAATAAGGTCTCCTCGCAGCCTCCTCTTCTCCAGACTGAACAACCCCAACTCTCTCAGCCTGGCCTCATAGGAGAGGTGATCCAGCCCTCAGATTATTTTTTATTGGACTTTGAAACAGCTAGAAAATAGGTTCCATAGGGAAAGTAAAATCTGAAATTAAAAAATGGAATGAGGAAATGTGAATAAACGGTCACAAAAAAAGAAACACAGTTCCCAGTTCAGCCACTCTCTCTAAAGAACCATCCTCAGTTCTAATGAGAGATGCTGTAACAATCCTTTTGGTCATTTCTCGATTTGACCTTCAGCATCCATTGAAAATTTCTGTTCTGGATATATTTGAAAAATCAGAAATGCTTATGGAAAGTTTAATTGAAAACTGACAAGATGGAAGTGTGTGTAGCAATGAACTAGCTGTGTATGACCATCTCTACCAAGAAATGTTCATGTTTCTTGACTCTAGAGTGAAAAAATAGAGGTCTATCATCAAGAAACTAGGAAAAATTGTTGTGTACAAGCAAATAGGGAAAAACAAAGATGTAACCACAGTAAACAAAACTCCCCAGAGACAATGAAAAGCTAAGGTTGAAAATTGAAACACAGAACTTTCACAAAACTTTTTAGTTTTTATGTTCAAGCAAAACCGATTCAGGTCCTGCCACCTACTAACTGTGTGTTGTAGGAAAGCAGAAAAGACTGTTCCCAGTGGCAATTAGAAAGACCTGCTCTGAGGCAAAATTTGGCAAAATCTTGGCAAAGATTTCTTCAGAGCAGACCGCATATAAAGACTCTCAGCACCTATATGCTCTGTCTTACATACAATAACTATTGCTTGAGGAGTAAATATGTTTGAGGGTTTTTTTGGTTTTGGGTTTTTTTTTTTCATCATCAACACTTATGGCTATCTGGGAAATTTTAGAAGCCAAAGTGTCAGGAGAGCCTGGAAAGAAAATAAGTCAGAAAAAGCTGTAAAAGTACCTTGCTTGCAGTACTAAAATCACAGTTAGCAGCATATATATTTATAAAGATACATCAATCTACCTGAATTCAAATAATTGAAAAAAGAGAGAAATAATCAGTTTCAATGTTTAAATTAAATTATTTCCATTTTGTTATCCTACAAAACATAATCCAATGAAAAGTATCCTTCATATCAGAATTTTCAAATATTAAATATTTTAATTTAATTAAAAATGCTTTAACTAGCCTCTTTAATCATAATTTAGCCTTATAACTCTTTAGAAAATTCACATATGCTTTGGTTTTCAATTGTTCTGTTCAATTTATGGTTTGTTTGTTTTTCTAAACAATGCAGCTTTTCTCCTCTCAGGCTAATGTCAAAATAAATTTGTATCACTGATCTGGTTGGAATTCTATAAGGCTGAACTTAATAATACTGAACTTAAACATTTCAGAGAAATAACAGCTCAATGACAGAACAGTGAAAGTAAAATCTGTTTAATCCCATGTTTTGGTTTGCCATCTTTGATTCTCATTAGTTTGCAAAATGAAGCTGAAGATTCCTGTTGTATATTGGCATTTCCTTTGACATTAAATACTGTGGTTGACATACAATAGTATTTTTATGACACAGCTAATATAGATACACCAATATTTTAGTCACAGCAGTTTACTTGAAGCGCAGTTTGCAACAGAGTTCTGGCCAAGAGTCAACACATTTGGTAGCTGACTATTTTGGGCAGAACAGAAAGTAACTTCTTTTTAACTCAGTCAAAATGTTAATCCACAACAAGGATCACAAGTTTTTGACTCTTTACACATTTGAGGAAAAATCTCAGCCTCAGATTTTACCTCCTAAATTTATCAATGACAACTTCAGCTAGCCTAAAATCAGTCAAAGATCAAATTCCCCTGGACTTAATTATTTTTTTGCAGAATTGTGATACCAGAAAAATACAGGGAATATGAATAAAAACCCATATTCTAGCAATCATATTGAGTCACAGATTGCACATGATACTAAATTATCATTAGCGGGAACTACTATACTTAGTGAGGAAAACAGAAACCTCACAAATTGCTATCAATTCAACAACAACAAATGTTAGAATGACATTTTATCAACTTTGTGAATCAACACTGCTATGCAACAACTGTGTCCTTACCTCTGATCCACCCATAATTTTCAGTGTGCCACCTTCCTCTTCCACACTATTAAACACATATTAATCATCTCCCATGGCACTGAGTCCTCTTCCTGTTTTCAACAGGCTTTTCTCCTGAGCACTGTTATTCTTCACAAGATGCTAACCAAGGGGGAAAAAAAACCCCAAAACTGGCAAATAGGTAATGCAAAGGGGTGCAGTCTTACATCTGCTGACTTTTGTTGCTATGAAAAATCCCAGAGGAAGGAATCCTACTGGCATCAATGACTATAAGAGTTCTGGCCAACAGCAGTGTCCAGCCTAAAAACCTTGATGTGACTGAGGACCTCATCACTCACACTGTGAAAGCAGAGGACATCAGGCGCTGGGACCCAACCTTCCTGAAAGGATCTGAGATTCAGTTTCGGATCCTCTGGAGACTTAGCAGGACATGAGCAAGAGTCAAACTTATTCTTCCAATGAAGCCTTTTAAGGAGGAAGCTTATAAAATGAGAATATTCCAGAGCTTCCAACATTTACAGAAGAAAATATCAGCAAACCCTCTGTATAGTAGTTTACATTATCAATTCAGTAATGCAATACCTAAATGAAAGAGTACTCATGGCAAAAACTCTAATGTCACCTTCATGTTCGACAGACTATGTGATAGTTTGGAAGCTATTATTTCAAAACTCACATGTTGAAATTTTCTAATTGACTGCTCACACGTTTCAAAATGATTTTGTAATTATCAACGGAACAAGGTAAATTAACCCTGAAACTGGTAGTAGTAAGTATTAAACTGCTCTTACTTATGTATCTACCTATCTGTAAATAGACCTGCCCATTACAGTAACGGCTGCCGTTCTGATGCACTGCACTCTGTTTTGATTAACACCTCTGCACAGAGCTTAGAGCTGTAGCATCAAATGCCCTGACCCCTTACTGTGCCATCATACCTGTCTGTGCAAATGGACACACAGAGGTCTCCACACATTTACACACTGATGTCAAAAGTGTTTCAGGAGCTAGGGATTAGGCCCAGGGAGCTTTTCATTAAATTCCCATTTAAGCACAGATGACTTGCACAGCCTTGGCTAAGTCTGCTTGTGCCTCGGTACCACATCTTTAAAGCTGGGTTAATGTCATCTCCCCATTTCACAGGAATACTGTAAGTGTAAACACTGTGAAGTCATGAGGTACTAGACTAACAAGATCACGATGTTCACATCACCTTTGTATATAGCTGTGGATACTTGTTTGTTATAATTAGTAATAAAATAAGAATCATTGCAGAAACTTAAAATCATTAGGAAAAAACACCTCAAGAGAATCAGTAACATATACAGTGACAAAAAGAAAATAAATGTCTATTTTTCCTATGAAACGACTTTTCATGTGCAGCCTCAGTAATGTATTCATCACAATCGAAACAAAGCTTGGAAACTGAAACTATCACACACAAAAAGCAAACAGGAAAAAAAGATACTATATTCTCCAAAGCTATGACTACCTGTTAGTCAGTGAGCAACTAACTTCTAGAATGTACAGCATACCATAAAATATTTAGTTTCATTGCAATCTAGCTTGTAACATCAAGATGCTTCCTGTTTTGTATGATGCATAACCTGAAATTTTTCATAGAAAAAGTAAATATTGCCTGTTTTTAAAAATATTCATTTTTTAATACCTATAGATAGACATAGGTAGTATTTTATATCTCATATATAACCATGAATGTTCAAAACACTTCCAAAAATAATTTCATGCAGGAAATAATTTCTTGCAGGAACGGCAAGAGCAGTTAAAGTAACTTTCAGGTTGTCCTTCCCTTCTTTCCTTTTAGAGATGTTATATCCATGAAGATCTTTCTCCCTGGTATGACACATTCTGCCTAATCTGTGTATGATTTGCAGTGAGCCTACAAAGGACCCCTTGCCTCAGAGTTTTTTCCACTGCTGTTTCATGAAAAACTGTAATCCAGAGCAATATGCTGACAGTTTCTTTCTTTTTAATGTCACTGACTTCCTTTAAATGGTTACTAAACAGTGCAAATTATGCACAGACCTGTAGAACAACACTATGGTGCTGACGACCCAAATTCCAAGCTACAGCTTTCAAGAAGTTTAGCGTAGACTGACTCCAGTCAGGTCCCTCGGATTGTTGCCAACATTAAGTGTGCTCCTACAATGCACCTTTCACTCTAGTTTCATCCAAGAGGAATCCAGTTCACCCATCTCAAGACTGCTCCAGAATATGAACCAAAGTACAGTCAGTGGGGACAATCAGAAGATTCACAGATTCCAAACTAAATAGCTAATACAAGTGTACTTATCATGTAAGATCTACAAACCAATTTCCATTTTTAGAACTACTGGGATTTGGCACTTCCTGACTTCAGTGAAATTATTCCCAATTTGTCCACAATAAGTAAAAGCAGAATACAAGTTTAAAGGAAATTAATAGTATATATCTTACACTATCTACCATATAGGCAAAAGATTCAGAAACTTACCATATCAGTATCTGAAACAGGTCCAAAACTGGTCACATAGATGTTAGTGAAGACTTCAGTAATGCTATCTGGTATAAAAAGAAAAAAACAAGCAAACATTTTAAATTTATAGTACATCTTCAAATCCTCTATACAAAATTACAGGACATTTTGAACAAGTTTCTGTCCCTATTTACTTCTCCTAACCAGTGTCCTGTTGTAAATACTGGGGGTCTCTACCCCACTTAATACAGAGGTTATCAGATGAGAGTTTGTCCCACTGAGCAGTTTGTTTCTGTTAAAGGATTATACAACCATCAGCAACTACACACATATTTCCCATTTCTCCACCAGCAAAAATAACCACAGTCTTGGACTTAACATGGTAGTACAGTTCCAAACACAAAAGGCCTTTGTTGCAGAGGTGTTATCTCCGTTGTTGCACATCATTCCTATTAAAGCCTTTCTAGATCAAGGCTGTTTTCTTCAACCTGAATAGCTTTTTCAAAGCCAAAAGCAAGAAAAAGCTTACAAAGCAATTATTGACTACACCAAATGTAACACTGAACAGCATCCTACTTTTTAATTGGGTATGTTTTTAAGTGGCACATATTTTAACATAATAGTTCCTTCCCTTGATACACAATGTTCCTGATACATTGTTGTGGTACTGTAAATACTATAAGAAAATGTTCTTCCTAATCATTGTAGTCAGACAGCCATGAAATCAGAATATTAAATATTGTACTGCAGGGAAAAATAATTGCTGAGTTTTCTATCTTCAGTTTTCAATTAGGCTCAAAATAGAATGATACTCACTAAGAGGGATAACACACACTTACAGGAAATTTTGTACAGCAGTTGCCAACTACTGTCTGCATTCAAGACAGTCAACACGAGGAGTTGTCTGCCTTAAAGCCAATTGCTGGCTGCAAAAGAAATATTTGAATACAACTAGCTGCAATTTGACTCACCCCAGAATTTCCCATTCCTAAAAAACAATACATCTGCCTGTAATATGAGTGATCCTGCTGTTATGTTATGATTTCCATATTTAATAATCATTTAATACGGCTAGTTAATAGTTTCTGTATTCCTAAAAGCTGCCTTTTGACAAATAGCTGGCATAGGCAAATTTTACTTTTAATTGTAGAGGCCAACGGTATAATCACTGCCCTCTACTGGGAGCAATCAGCAGTGCTCACCCATGACGGCAGATGCTCTACCAGCCCCCAGGCAAAGGCAGGACTGTTCTGTGAGCACCTGCATGGGGAGCAGCGTATTTTCAAAGGGATGTAGCTGCACCCAAAGCAGGTATGTGGTGATACAGCACTTTCAGAAAACTTCCGGAGCGTGGAGGAGGCACATTCCTGCACTCTCATCTTTAAGGAAACTTGAATTTCCATCTCCAGCTGAACACGAGACGTGCTTATTAGAACACAGGACTTTGTAAAGCCTTTCCTACCCAAAAGAATTTTCTTTCCAGGATCATCTCTCCTTTTTAAGCAGATAAATAAAGGCTGACTTTTACTATGTGTCAGTTCAAAAGGACACTTCCCCGCACGTCCTGAGAGATGTTTATTTGTGCGATAGAGACTTCTGTAATCCCATATGCAGCATCCGTACACAGGCTGAGTTGATTTCTGCTCCAAACATCTTACAAACTAAGTTCAAGTCAGTGGACAACAAGAGGTGCTGAGTCTGCGCTGTTTTTAGCATGCAACAAGGATAAAGTATGGGTCTGGATGAAATATCATATGGAAAACACAGGTACCGTTCAGACGACTAGTGACTGCATGTTGCCTGTGGGACACTCTCCAGAAAAAAAGATTATACTCTCCAAATGGTTACCTGGCACAGGCAGAAATGAAATGGAAAAGTGACAAGAGACCTACTCTTCAGGGGGTAAAACAGTGCTGCAGGGACTAACTGAAATTTGGCCTGTACCGTGAAATTTGGCCTGTTACTATAATGACAACACAAAATCTTAATTACAATTCCATGAAAAACATTGGTGTTAGAAAAAACTGACTGAAAAACAATTATCCCAACAGCAGAGAACAATTTCCATTATACTGGTATAATCTGAAGGAACACTACTATAGGCAAAAAAGTCACTTGGCAAATCTTAACCTGTACACACACGTCGTCCCCCCCTCAAAATGGTTGGAAGCATGGTCCTCTTGTAACATCACCCCATTGCTATCAGTTGTTTGCATCTGACATGTTACTTGACACAGGGGAATGACTTCATAATTTGCATATAGTAAGCTACAGGACATGGCATCTTCAGGCTTGCCTTGTATTTTAAGTTTTAATAAAAAAAAAAAGTCCCATACTCTATCATATTATTTCTACATACTTCTGGATACATCCTCCCATCAGAAATGAGCAGAGAAGACAGAGCTGAGAACAAACAAATTGACCGCAGCGTATCATTGAATGCTATTACAACAGCCTGCAGATTCCCCTTGTTGGTGTGCACTACTCCCTTCAAATCACTTCAGATCTCTGGAGCAAAGGATCAAGACTTGGGGAGTGAAGGGGGGATGGATGGGAAGGAGAGGCTTGCTATCCACAGATCCGCCACTGTAAGACCTTCATTTCAGGTTGTCATAATTAAGATAAGCACTTCAATGTATATAAAAAGTCCTGGGGCAAATTCATCCCTGATAGCCTCAGGAATGGGAATGGATGCAAATTAATCATGCACCTTTATTTCTCTTTTGCCAAAACAGCCTTAAACCAGCATAGCCCCAGGCAACGGTGACAAGTGAGCTTCAACGCAACCAGTTGCTCTCTCCCAAAGTGAGGGTTCATCCTGACGGCAGGCACTCCACCAGGCTGCTTCTCCTCATGCAAGAGCCACGCTGCAGCAGAGAGTGAAGGGAGTAGGTAGCAAGTCTTGAAACAGGGTGTGAAAGGGACAAGGGGAGCTGAAAAGTTACAAGAGATGAGAAGACTGAGAGAAAAGGAAGGATAAGAAAACAGAAGAAAGAAAGACAGGGAAAAAGAGAAGAGGAAAGTACACAAAAGAGGAACTGGCAGATTTTAATTTCTGCCTCTTATTTTCCCTCAAAATTCTGCATATTTTGTAAGTTTCCATTCATACACTACATACAAGGAAATGGTCCTTAAAGACAAAAGAAGCTGAAATGTAATAAATCTTGAATTATTCCTGTTACCATCTGTTAGTTCAGCAGCCTGGGCCTTGTGTCTGTTTCTTCTTTGTTACTTTACATGGTGTTACAGTAAAGATTCCTCTGAATTACAAATTTGAACACAGGATTTCAGAATCAGTGTCTATGAAACGAAAAAATGAATCTTCCTTTTTTACCACAAATATTGCATTGCTTTGAAAGAATACATGCTGTCAAATAAAGTCTGTATTAAAACATACCACTTTGTCCTGCTAGTAACTTACTGAAAACAATTCAGAGGCCCAAAGCACAGTTTCAGACAGACTCTCTAATCAGAATTCATCCAGAAGGCACCACAGTTACAGGCTTTTTATAACTCATGTTCTGTCAAGAACAGCACAAGTCATCACACTTAGCACACTGGAGATTCAAATAGTTCTGGATCATCAGAGCTTGTGGGAAAGCCAATGGAATGTACTCAGCTAAAAAATGTTCAATGCAACGTGTTGGTGTAGAAATCTAGTCTATTTTTCTGAGAAAAATTAAGGACAAGTTTTTTCCACTAGAATTATAGAATCTTTTTCTTCAATTGGCATGTAAGCACATAACTAAAAGGCCTGATTTTCAAAAGTGCTTAAATCAATGGAGGCCTAGTGCTTTTGAAAAACAGCCTAGTTTTCAAAGAACCTCTGTTGGGAGGAGGGGTAGCTGACTCATTTATACTTTTGAGATCTTAAGTTATTCTGAATCACTGCCTTTGAAGGTTAAACAAAGAAACAGGAACAGGAAAGGGTAAGGATATAGTTTCTATTTCTGATGTTTCTTTTAGGGGAAAAAAAATCTCAGGCAAAGAATATAGCAGGTAGGTGCCATCATCACATGAAGTGCTCTGAAATTCAGCAAATGCTATTATAGTATCATTTCTAACTTGCCTTGGTCATAAATGTTAAAAGAGAAGACTTATCTAACTTAGCTTCGGCCATCAGAAGATGGAATCCAAAGGTAAACTGACAAAAAAAGATTCAAGACAGTTAAGAATAAAGAGAGTAAGAAAAACACATCCTATGGAAATAGTAAAGGCAATAACTATTAAGATCATGATTCACATGGTTCTCAAGCACTGGTTTCTTCTGATTCCCTTTCTGTACTTGAACTGTCATGATGTCAATACTGAAAAAAAAAAATCAAAAAGTAAGAAAAAGCAATAAAAGTACCAAATTGCAGAAGATTTATAGTTCCTTATCTATCCTTAGCCGGAAGGTTTACTGTGGGCTTTAATTAGTTTTAGGATTTTATAAACATTAATTATAATAACCTCTCTCTGAAGATAATAATTTTATTATCTTCATTTTTCCATACTTGGGAAGCCGAGGCAGAAGGAGTAAATGAAGTGTAAGTAATGTCAAGTACATGTGTTTACCAAATCTGGCTTCAGCTGTCCAACATTAAGTATCCACACCAGAAAATGTTAACATCATTGACTCATCAAAAATTAGAAGAGGTGTTCAGAGCTTAATTAGAGTTGGTATCAGTGCCTTTGTCCATTCCATTATGCTAACTCTCCTGCTGCTGGGATACCCTTTCTGATGGTCTGAAGTCCTGCTGACTTGTTCCTCAGAAGAAGTGCTGGCTCAGCTGAAGTAGGCTGCTTGGCAGAGAATTTGCAGTGGCTGAAGTCTAAATCAGTCACAGGTTGAGTAATGGAGATGGGCAGAAAAGTCAGATGAAAAGATTCCTCATCAGCATTTACCAACTTGTCAAAACTGGAAATTTCCACAGAGGCAATTCAATTTTGAATGAGTTTCTTTGGACTTCCGCCTGCCAGACAGTTTTCAAAACTTCTCTGCTTTCTTTCAAATGTCCCTTCTCAGCTGCCTGCATCTCTGAAGAGGTACACAGGGTTCCAGTGTCTGCAACATGGGGTAGCTAGACATACAAGGTTGGCCACACCTGAGAGCTCTCCTTTTCCTGTAGAACTCTGAGGCAGGATTATCTTTCTTGAAATAAATTTTCTGAATATTTCTCAAATTTGAGAATGATCTGTGTTTTGCTCCTTCTTTCTCCCCTCTCACCAAAATAATGTATAATGATTTCTTAGCAGAGAGTAGGGACAAAGCATGCATGGTTCATTCTAGGTATGTTTAAAAGAAGAGAAGAAAGGAGTGTGATCATTGTGAAGTCTTCAGAGTGGACCAATAACAATGTTCCAGATGTTCGTTTGCATGAAGCTGGCTATAGCATCCATCAATGTGTCAAGGCTATCTTGACAAGAAAACAGGCTAGTAGATTAGGTTGGACTTTTTTTTGTTATTATTTGAATTTTCAGTCAATAAAACTGTAAATCCAGGGTTTGGGCAGCTAAAATAAAAGGCAATCTGTTTGAGGTAATCCAAAACCATCAAAAGTATTCTTGGTGGGACAGAGCTTTTAAAATACACATACACAGTTCTAATGCATAGCATGAAACAATTTCTTACAAACATTATTTTAAATGTAGAGTAAATACTGCCCAGGAGAACACTGCAGGGCTGTAACTGAAGGGCTGCTACAGCATGCAAAAAAAAAATGTGAAAATAAAATACTGCTCTTTAATTATGTCAACAAAAAATAAAAAAAAGGAAGTCAAGTTGCAGTGCTGTGGGAGCCTTAACTGAGGATTTCTGAGTTTTTGTGGAAGTGCTGTCAAAAGCTTGATGTTAGTTTAATTATTTTGCTATAAAAAATTATTTAACTGGAATTGACATTGTTCTGACATTGTAATATGGTCTCCAAGGGCATGCTTGGCAATGTTGCCCAAAGGCTTTGAAATTGTCATTCATAATATAAGTCTGAAATTGCACAGGTGAAACAGCCAGGGTCTTAATCCATCAAACACTGTTCCAACTCAACATGCTGCCCTTATCTGACAAGCTCCTTAGTGTGTCTGTTGACAGCTCAAGACACTCTGTGGCTGGCAGGGAATGGGGGTCAGAAGAGGTCATGCAACATGGAGCCGTAAGAGCAGCAAAATCCATAGGAATGCAGATGTTTCAAAACACTGTTCTGCCAGTTCTCCTTTATATTTGGTTT